ACACACACACACACACACACACACACACACACACACAAAGGGGTCTCAGAGCAAAACTCTCACAAGAGATTCTTTGTTCCGGTGTATGTATATTTCTTGCGAGGATTCCACCCCTCTCCTCTCTCTCTCTCTCTCTCTCTTTCTCTCTCTCTCTCTCTCTTTATATTTTGCATGTGAACTGCATCAGAATTGAACTCAGTCTCGCAAATCTCTTGTTGGCCTTTAGCTAGTGCTCCCTGCGCACTTTGCTACCATGGAAACTGTAATTAAACTGATAAGAGCTGAGCAATGTCGGTATCTCTCGGCTTTGCAGCTGCAGTGGAGAAAAAGGGAGAAATCAAATTGGTTCCCAGCTCCATGGTTCCAAAAAAAAAAAAAAAAGCTGGAGGAGGAGGAGGAGGTGGTGGTGTTGGGGTATGGAGTTGGAGCGTCAGGCTCAGAGTTTAGCAGAGACCTTGGGGGACACAGATGACTCTGAACCCCTTTAGAAGAAGACACTCGAAAAGGATGCTAGGGACCAGACCAGAGACAAACCACACTGGAGATCCAATAATCTGATTTATTTTTTTCTCCCTCAGCCTGGGTGGAAGGATAGTAGGAGGGGGTGAGGACAGACCGGAGGGGGAAAACATCTTTTGTTTGGTACCTCTTGGCACAGATACCACCGTCTTGGCCAAATGGTCTCAATCTGTGGTGTTGCTCTGAGCTGCAGACCCGGGCTTTGAATTCTGCATCTTTCCTGAGCTGGCTTAAGTCTTTGTAAGGCTTTATTTTATTGTCCTTTTCACATCTCCTCTCTTTCTAACCCCGGCTTCCCAATTGCCCCCTTCCCAAAGCTCCAGAGAGGGAAGTTTTAAATAATAATAATTATGGAAGAAAAGAAAAAGAAGCTGTGGATCAGGGGAATGAGTGTGGTGTTGAAGTGTTCGGCCGGGCATCTCTGTGTCTCGGTGTCTTTGGGAACTGATTGTTCCCCGCCTGTGTGTCGTGGAGTTCGGGGGGACATTGTGTGAACTGTCAAAGCTGAGCCCAGGCAGATGAAGAGCACAGCACAAGGCGGAAAGAAAAAAAAAATGGGTTCAATAGACCGTTAGCATGCACACAAAACCAGCCAGGCAATTAAAAGCTCACCAGAGTTGAAACGAAATGGTTTATACTGATTCCTGCAGACCGCACTGCACATGCGATTATTTCCTCTCTCTCTAATTATGATTTCCCTTAAACTGTCAAATAATTCGGGATGGCAGGTGTCACACACAAAGGGGGGGACATTTCTCCCAGAGCCATTTGCACACCAATCTAAAACTAGTTCTGAGCTCACACACACACACACACACACACACACCACGAGCTAGGGCTGAACAACTTGTGAGATTTGAGTGACCGCGTGTAATTCCGAGAGGAGGAACAGACCCCACAAAACCTGGGGATTTTGGGGTGGGGGGCAGCAGGGGGAAATCTCAATCACCACACGGGTGACTGACCAAACAGTTCTTACTCTTAAGATTGGGAACTTGACACGGGATGGAAAAGATTTCCTTTATATTTGTTTTTTTTTCCCTCCTCATCTGAAGAAATCTTAGGGAAGTCCTCTACCGAACATTAAAATGATCATTAATAATAGTGAATCATCATCATCATCATCATAAATGCTGCGGGTCTGGGATGTAAAATGTCAACCCAGAGCCAACACAAAATAGAAGAAGAGTTTCAGAGCTTAACCTGTGTCTAAATTAAAATGTCAATACCACCACCATAATAAGAACCCCCCCCAAAAAAATTAGGGGAGGAGGCAAAAAGGATACTGTTACTTGGTGCCCAAAGATTGGAATCCCCGTGTCTGATTTGACTAAAGATTTGCACCTTTATAATAAAGTCCACCCAGGACTTCATTATGAACATACATGATATACGTTAGCTACTACTATGAAAGATGTATATATATATTTAAAATATGTGTATATATATGTATATTTTTATGCTTTTTCATCTTTTATCCTGGTGATTTAAAAAAAAAAGGAATAGTGTGATTAATGAGATAATTAGAACGGTGAGTCTGAATCTCTCTCTAGATGCTTTCGGTATCCAAAATAATCCCCAAAATGTCATTTACCAAAGCACCTAGGCCTGCAGCATTCTATAATTAATGCAGGGAGAGGGTCCCCTCCTTTAGTAGAAAGTGCTAGAACAGGATAACTAGTCCTGATCAGAGAGAGGGGTGGGGGAATCCATTTGATTTGTTGGAAGTCCTGGAGAGGGAGATAAAGCCCAGCTAGCTAGGTGGATGTTTACTCTCTGCCCTGTCTAGATCCTTAGCGATTGGGCCTGAGGAAGGTTAGCCTGGTCACTAGCCCTGGTAACCAGCCTCGGTTCCAATGACTGTCACCAAAGTTCAGCCTTATTGTAATTGGCTGTGCCCAGCACGGATTTTAGCGGTAGCTAGAGGAAAGGAGAGAGAGAGGTTCACTATTTCTGGAGAAATGGACAAGAAATGCTTGCTGTCTCTTCAAACTCTTACACACACACGCACGCACACACACACACACACACACGTATCTGGTGTTTGATTTATTTTCTTCTCCTTCTCCATCATCAGTTTACAAGTTGTTGTTGTTTTTGTGGTGAGGGGGGACTCAAAGAAGCAACCAAGTATCCCGGAAAGATCTGTGGCATTATTAGAGCCGTGTGCTGGGTGCTCCGGTGATGTTTGAGGACTTGCTTCACGCTCCTGGGTGTTAGACATGGGTGTTAGAGATGAGGGAAATGGGGATTGATCTTGTCAGCTGTCCTGTGCAGTTACGAGTGTGATCAGCGATCTGATTATTTTATTTATTATTAGTTCTTGTTGCCTAAAGACGCAGCTCGGAGAGTTGAGCCAGCAATCCTTTCTCCTTTTATTCTGTCTTTTTTTTTAAAAAAAGCCTGGTTGTTTGACCTCTAGAAAACAAGCCAGAGAGAATTCTTGAAGGTACAAAGATGTCAGTCGAGTTGTAAATCTCAGATTCCTTTATTTTCGCATGGAGATGCGGGTGTGGATCATGCAGTATTCTCCTAGATCCTATAGAGGAGGAGAACCCCTCCCATAAAGCCGTATGTAGGATGGGAGAACTTAGCGTATACCGGGAGCTCTTCTTCTTTCCCGAATGCAATACAGAAGTGCCGGCTTCTGTTGGCCTGTGGTATAGTTGCAGGGCTCACGACAGAAGTATTTCATAGGTAGTTGGGGAACAAGTTACCCTGTCGGCTCCGATGAATGGTTGGCTTACACATGCACTTGATCATTTCCACACCCGATCGCCTTCACACACCCAGGCTGGGTGCATAGATACGAACTTGCTCTTATCACTGGAGCTATATGATTCTTATATATGTGTGTGTGTGTGTGAATTTGCTATTTCACTCTGGGTGTGACTTCATAGATAGATGAATACGTGTGTGCATTCACTCTGATCACCTGTGAACATGAATCCATTCTTAGCCTTTAGAAGAGATGGCTTCGGGCATTTACATGAATTTGCTCTTATATCTATGGTTCATGTGTGTGTGTGTGTGTGTGAACTTGCTGTATCACTATGTATACGACTTCATATATATGTGAATTCACTATTGTCACTGTAAATGACTTTATATTGATGAATTCATTATTATGATTGTATCTATGATTTCATCTATATATAAATGACTTGACCTATATGAATTCACTATCAGCACTTTATGTGACCAGATATATATATATATATATATATATGTATATATATATATATAAAGTTAATGATGATCACTACATGTATGTGATTTCAGTATGTATGACTGCATATGTGTGAATTCACTATTATCATTATAAATGTTTTCATACCTGTATATATTTGAATTCACTATTATCCATGTGAAGGACTATATATAGATGAATTCCTTATTATCACTATAAATGCTTTCAGACATATATTTAAATTCCTCATTAACCCTGCAAAGGACTATAGATATATGAATCCACTATGGCTTCATATAGATATATACATTAGCTATTATCGCCATATATACATAAAACTTCACCTATATATCTATGAATCATTTTTGTCACTACCTATCTGACTTCGTCTATGTATAAATTCCTTATTAACACTCTACATGCCTGTGTGTGTATATATATATATATATATATGTATATATGAATTTACGATTATCACTGTACAGATACATGACTTCGTCGACCATGTGAGGAAGGCTTCATAAACTTTGAGGCTCCTTGTGTCTCCCACCTTTTGTTTGTATTTCAGTGCGTGCCCTCTGTATGAAAAATAAATAAATAAAAGGGAAGAGGGAGGGAGGGGTAAGGAAGGGAGGGAGGGAGGGAGGGAGGGAAGCAATCTCCGTGTGCTTAGGAAAAGGCAGTGTTGAATATGTAACTGGTGGCAGGTCTGTCTCCTAATCTCAGCTCTTCTCTCTCTTTCTCTCTCTCTCCTCTCTCAGGTATACAAATGCTCTCGGTCCAGCCAGACACCAAGCCGAAAGGTTGTGCTGGCTGCAACCGTAAGATCAAGGACAGGTACCTCCTGAAAGCCCTGGACAAGTATTGGCATGAAGATTGTCTGAAGTGCGCGTGCTGTGACTGCCGGCTGGGCGAGGTGGGCTCCACGCTCTACACCAAGGCCAACCTCATCCTCTGCCGCCGGGACTACCTCAGGTAGGCGCCGCGCTGGTCCACCTCTGGGGGATGGGGGCCTCACCGTGGGGCTGTGGCTTCGGGCTTTTCTTCTCGAGAATTCATCTGTCTCGGATCAGATTCGTGCGTGTCTGGGCTGGGGTTGGATTGCGTTCCTGCCACCAGGGTAGGTTGCTGAAAACAACCACAATAATAATCATCATGAATGCTCACCTGTCAGTGTCCGGGTTAGGAAATCGCCGCTGAAGCGTTGCTTTCTGAGGGGCTCCTCCCACTCCACCAGCAGTTTTTTCCCCATAGAAAGTTCCAGTGTGGGGAGAGGGGAGGGTCAAGGCTGGCTAAAGCAATCTGCATGGGTGTATTTATTACTGCTGCTGCTACTATTGTTATGAATTAGGGTATCAGCCGGAGGAGAGCCAACAGGGAGCAGGAAGGAGTTGAGGGGGCTGGCGAAGCGTTGTGTAAACTCTTGGCGTTCAGGAAAATCCCTAAACTGATGGTCTGATGTTCTTCTAACATTGCGCTGTAGCCTTCCCATTCAGCTGAAGGAAGTCACATTTATTTCATTATTACTAATAATTATGATCATGATAATTATTATAATGTGTGTGTGTGTGTGTGTGTGTGTGTGTGTGTCCTGGAGCTTGAACTCAGGGCCCTGGGCACTATCCCTGAGCTTCTGTTGCCCAAGACTGGTGCTCTACCACTTGAGCCAGAGCACCACTTCTGGCTTTTTTGCTGGTTTGTTGGAGGCGAGGGTCTTGTGAACTTTCCCGCCCAGGGCTGGCTTTGAACCGCGATCCTCTAGATCTCGGCCTCCTGGGAAAGCTGGGGGTAACAGGCGTGAGCCATCAGCTTTTAACTACTCTTGGTGAATATATTTAGTATACGGTTTGGAAAGGAAGAAGAAGAAGAAGAAAATAAAACCAAACTCCTTCCCACCCCCCACCCCCAGCACCAAAGACCTTCAACACGGGGTCCCCCACCTTCCACCCAGAGACCCCCCCACCAACAAGAGAAGGGAGTTTGCATCTCAGGGAAACTTTCCCCCTAGACTGCTTTCGACTGCAAATGACTTATATTAATAAAGTGAGATCCCACTTTATTATGATATATGGTAACATTTGGGATTTCATATTTGATACGATTAATCATGCTTCGACGCTGACACCGAGCTATTTATTTGGAACTTTTCCCTCCCTCCCTCCCTCCCTCCCCCCACATATAACACAAAACTGATCAATCAACAATAACTCCCTTAATTATCTTAGTCATCTGGGGAGGGAATTTGACTTTGATTTTCTTAGTCTTTATAAGGTTTTTTTTGAAGGTCAGATATATGTATATATATACATACATACATATATATACGATCTATACATATATGTATACATATATAGTGTATATATATATGTGTGTGTATATATATATATATATATATATCTTTTGATGAATGGGAGTTGTAAGGGTGGGTTCAGTTCTGTGTCTCTCCTCAAACTTTGTCCCTTCTAGTTAGAACTTATATCTGGACACGTGGAATTCACACACACACACACACACACATACACATGCACGATTTTTGTTGTTGCTGTTTTCCACGATGGAATGATGCATTTTGGGTTTTTTTTGGGGGGTGACCCCTTTTGACAATTACACATACTACTTTAAAAAATAAAAGCCAACCTTTTCTCAGGGGAAATTCCATTGCCGGTCCAAACGAGGTGTGCGGGCAATCCCGGCTCGGTGAAGGGGTTTTAATAACTAACAACAACAACAACAACAAAAGACACACTCCTCCCCCTACTCCACCCCTGAAGTAAATGTTAGAAGAAACTGCTGGAAAGCACTAGATTTTTTTTTATACATAATTACCTATGAAACACCTGTGCGAGATGAGAAACGCTTATGTATATCAGTGTAATAACACTCAGAGAAAGTCATCTTGGATTTGTTTCTGTTTTAGTTTATTGTTCCTCATGGTAGTAAATACGAATCATATTAACCTGGTTTTTGGCACGTAAGGGTTTTGGTTAAAGAGAGTTAATGCAAATAGTTTGGGATGGGAAATAATTCCTCCTCCTCCTCCTCCTCCTGCTCTTCTTCCTCCTCCTCCTCCTCTTTCTCCTTCTCTTCCTCCTCCTCCTCCTCCTCCTCCTCTTCCTCCTCCTCCTCCTCCTTCTCCT